GCCGCGCCATTGGACACCTCCGGATATCGGCGTTGCTGACATTAGCTTCATATACTTTCACTTCCTAGCTTCAACAGAGCAAAGATTTCTCAAAACGCCTTCGCTGCTTTAAGTTTTCTCGACGCCTGTCAGCTGCATCAAAAGCAGAACCGACCCCGTCCAAGAAATGACACCCTAAGCACCTCGGCGTAGAAGAAACGCTCCCAGCCGCGGTCGCCGGTGGTAACCGATGAGGAAGTGTTTGAGATTTTACAGCCCAACTGTGGCACCTAATGCACTGAACAGACTCTGGAGCAGGAAAATGTGTTGCATCTAGTTTACAGTCTGGAAACACATATCAAACATTTACATTTAGAGGCTTCAAAAGGATAGAAAAACGCAACATACCGTGGCGACCACGTCAGGGCGGAGAGCAGCCGCCGCCAAACAAAGTCCCCCTTGCAAAGTTTCTTAAACATCTTAAAATCGGGGAAATGTTGTTTTAAATAATCACCGTGTTTAAGGGAACTCGCGGTTAGACCTCTCAAATCATTTTGTACCGTGTGTGGTCTAAACAGTTGATTCAATCAAGCACCACATGATTCAGGCCTCCTGTGACTGATGTCCACACATGGAAAACATCGGCCTTTTCAAAGCTTTGGGTGTCTTTTCAATCCAGCTTCCCAAGGGCGGTGCATGCAGGAGGAGGGACGACAAAGAATTCGTCCTCAGCATCCAACCAGCTGAGGAATCGGGTACTTTTAAAGAGATTTGCAAACAAAAGCAGGGGATTTTATTTGTAAGCTAAACTGTGACACAGCGTGCAGTCACAGTTTAAACCGAGGACTGCACCGGCTGCTCTCGAGTCCCCGTCCTGGACGCCACAGCACAAGTAGAGCACATTTATATAAAGTCATGTTTTCCCATAATTTCCTTATTTGCATGCACATGCAGTATTAAAAATACAGTTAGACCAGAGCAGTGTATATATATATATATATATTTATATATAGATATAGATATATATATATAATGTTTGAAAAAGGAGTGTAAAAATCCAGTGCGACAGTCATTGAGTTCTTGAGGTCTACATGATTGTAATCAAAATAAAACAGCCAGTGAGGTGATCCAGTTTGGAGAGAGGGCCGAGCTCTCTGTTGCATATTCAAGTTCAAACTGAGGAAGCTGCGGCACAAATACCCTGAAAACAAAGACTGAACGCCGTCTCGACTGTTTAGCGAATTAACATTCCGAATGATTAAAATTCCAATGATAGAATTCCGGCTGACGGAAAGTGAGTTTCTTCTCTCTACCTGATCGCCTCACCTTCACGCCGAACGCGAGCGATGCCCGTTGAGGTTTTCCCGTGGAAGCCGCTTAGCAGCTCAGCGCTAAAAATGGATCATCTCACCGACTGTTTCACATGCCGTTTGCTGAAAACGAGGCTTCCTTGATTTCCCAAACATATCGAGATTGCACCACGACAGCGATTCTTCTTCATGTCAACATATATTTATCTACAAGCCCTTACACAAAGGGGAGAGAGGGTTCATGTTTGGGAAAGCAAAGAGAAGGGGGAAAAAACTAAACAAAAAACACATTGGAAACACAGCATCATCATCATTATCATCATCAGGTTTGGATCAAAAAAATAAGTTTACAGCAAAGAGTAGAAAAGTCACTCGCAGATATCTTGCAACATCTTTCTTTCTGGAGCTGAGACGGGGCTAAAGAGGCCTCTGAACACGACTCACAGGAGAAGTCAGACTAGCCAGCACCAGAAACATTCCTCCAGAGTTTCTCAGAGCACAACGCTGCGACGGCTTGAGGTCCGATCTAGAAACTCCACGCTCATCAAGGCACATTCAACACTCCTCCAAAAGGTAACCACCAGAAATGAGAGGTGGTGGTCGAGAAGGGGGAGCAGCTCTTGGAAACACACACTCAGGACTTCTGAGCGTTTCCCAAAGCCATTTCACCCATCCTTCCACCCTCCTCCTCCTCCTTATTCACATTCCTGAATGAATGAAGGACGGACTCGAGAAGAGGGCCCCTACCCTTTTAAATCGACAACAACAACAACGCTGCCCCCTGTTGCTGCACTGGCAGCTGGAAAGAGGCAAAGACACCCCCCC